TATGCCTTTGCTATTTATATGATTTGCCAGTTTTCCTTTGAAAGTTTCTCTCATTTATTTGGCTTCAGTTACTAGTTTTCTGTGGATAATTCCAAATTCTGTTCAGGAACGTTAACCCAGCTTGGCAGCGGTTCATGTGAAAAATATTGTAAAATTTTTATTGCAAGCTCAATTTTAGGCAGAAGTGTGAAACAAATTCTAAAACATTTAAATTTGGTTGCATGAATATACAGATAGCAACACAATAATTGAAGGAAATAACGCCCCTGCACTCTATTACTCAGATTTCATTATGATACCTGTGCTTAATCTATACATCACATTTTTAAAAGCATTAGAGAATGACAAGCAGAAACAGATGAGAATGACAAGAATAGTAAATATTTTATAATAATTTCATATGAAAAAAGCTTAAAAAAACTATACGTGCCTATGGCTGAATAATATTGGGGCATAAAAATAGCTGTCTTCATGTATTTGACAGAATGAACTTTATTCTAAAATAGTAGTATTTCAGTATTTCTTGTTGTTTTTCATTTTAGTAGTGTAATTTGTTGAAATTAAATAGTATATGAAAGAATAATATTCAAATTGATCTGCTTTGTGTGAAAATGGATGGAAAGTCCAGAGTCTACTTCAGACTTCTGATCTTTCATTCCCTTCTAGGTTGTCTATTTCTACTGATCGTTAGTGCCATGTCCCTCGAAGTTCAGGTTTGACTTTAAAACAGACCTGCATTTTCCACAAATTCTTTCCCCATGTGGTTAGGTTTGCCAATAAGAGGGATTTGTGCAAGAAATGGAAAGTGGAAGAGAACAGGAAGCCATTATTCTCCACACGCAGTTGCAGGCAGATACGTGGACAGATGAAAAGTTGAAATGACTTCTAAGGGAGCCTTTAAAAGTGATTTCCTTCACTGCTGTAGGCTGAGACACATGGTGGGAGCCTTCTAGAGGTTCCTGAGGAATGCAGTGCCTCTGTGGAGTGTTTTTGAGAAGAATTCACAGTACACTGAAGGTTAAAATTATTAGTAGAAAGTTCCCTGACCTTCACTTCCACAGCTATTTAGGTCACCGATTCCCTTCCACAGTCTTTCTAACATCAACATAGAGTGGCTTGTTTCCCTAATCCAACAACGTGTTCAACACATAAGCCAAAATAGCTGATTCAAACTCATATTTTGATATGCATGGTCCTCCATACCTAGATTCTAAACTGCTACCTGAGCATTCTTCCTCAAAAGTAAATGGTATTTATTTTACCCCTCCCAAACATATACTGTGCATTTCCTTCTTTTCTACTTTATTCATGATTTTCTTTTGTCTGGAATCTCTGGTATCAAATTCTAAATAACCCTCAGTTGCAAATTTAAATTCATCCATGCCTGTGTGTGTGTGTGTGTGTGTGTGTGTATCTTAAATTTTTTCTTTGCATTCTCTCTTATTTGAAATCTTAGTACTCCTTAGAATTATGTGATGTCATCATAAACTTACTTTAATTATCTTTCTTACATCTTTGTAAGTGATCTTTACAATTATATTGCAAACTTCTTTATGACAGAGAGCAAGGCTTTCTACTATAATTTATTTTGCCCCAACAAAGTATCTAGTAGTTGTAATATATAAATCAATTCCCATAGTTCCCTGGGGTACTTATTTACAATTGTGATTCTCAGCACTTCTGAATTCAGTCATTCAACAAGACTACACATGGTTTTCCTCTACTTTCCAATCATACATCCTACCACTATTTTCCCTGTTCACCCAATTCAAGCCACGCTGACCTTCTCATTTTTTTCACTACACTACTCATACTATCAACTTTGTGCGTGTTTTTTCTTCCCTCTGCTGGAAATACTCTTCTACCAAATATTTATATTTTTCTCCTCTGGCCCTTCAGATCTCTGCTCAAATGTCACTTTCATAGATATCTCTTTTCTGAATATTCTATACAAAGTGGCACTACATTTAAAACTCTATACTCCCTTACACTGCTTTATATCCTTTAGAGTACTTATTCATTCATGTTTTTATTATATGTATTTGTTATTGTTGTTTTCTACTGCCACCATTAATCTGGTAGCTCCCTGGGAGCACTTTTTAAAAAAAAAACTTCTACAGAGAAACTGAGGTAACTCTAGCTGCTGCCATTGTGATCGATGACAAAGCTTACAACTGTTTGTGCTGGTGGTGCACAAGCTAAATGTATAGTAACCCTTTCAAAGCTCTTACAAGTTATGTGTTACATCCACATTAAAAATGATAAAACTAAGGTTTAGGTATGTTAAATAATGTACTCAGGAATAATAAATAGAACACAGTAGAAGGGGGCTTTAAGCCTACCCACTGTCTTACTACAAACTGCGTGCTCTATATAATATGTTAGTAGATTACACTGACTGTGTTTTACCCATAGTGTCAAGTCAGATTTCTGATATCCAGAACACTTCAAATCATGTATTACTTTAGACAAACGTGTACTATACACCTAAAACATTGATGACACCAAGGGACTCCATAAAGATTT